GTGTGTGTGTGTGTGTGTGTGTGTGTGTGTGTGTGTGTGTGTGTGTGCGCGCGCACAGACATGCCACAACATTTGTGTGGAGGTCACAGGACAACTGTGGATTTGGTTCTTTCTTCTGTGCATTTCCGGGGGTTGAACCCTTGTCAGTCTCGGCAGCAAGCACCTTTGCCTTTGAGCCAGGCAAGCAGTTTATGTGTCTGGGGATCAAACACAGAACCCCATGTGGGTTAGGCGAGCACCCTACCAATCCCAGCCCGAGGCTGGCCTTAGTAAACCAGGCTTGCCAACTCGCTGTCTGGAGTTTTGGGTGTACGGTAACCAAATAAGCCAGTCTCTTAAACCTGTTTTGCTCTTTCTCCCCTTCCAAAGGGGTGTCTGAAGATGAGCCCAGATGACAGGCTAACCTGTGCCCAGCTGCTGGACAGTGCTTACTTCGATTCTTTCCGAGAGGGTCAAATGAAAAGAAAAGCCCGCAGTGAGGGAAGAAGCCCACGGCGGCAGCAGGTACTGTTCACAACTTGAAGCCATAGAAAAGTACTTTTTTTCCTACTTTCCAAAGGGAGGCGAGAGGAACACCCAGCACTTCCGTTGCTGTTGTTCTGAGTTGGTTGTATTCACCTCAGAAAATATCAGTGGTTACTGTAATAAACCCCACAACTGTGAAAATAACCAGCTTGTTGAAAAATCTTATTCAAATCATACATGTCTACAGCTGGGGGGGTCATTTTGTTTCCCAGGTTGGTCTCCAACTCTTGGGCTCAAGTTGACGCCCCTATCTGAGCCTCCCAAGTATCTGGGATTAGAGGTGAACAGTACTGCGCTCAGCTTGCAATTGAATTAAATATCGGATCCTTTCTGTTACACTGATTGGATACACAACCTGCCGAAGGAAGTACCAACAACCTAACCAGGGTGGCCTGATCACACTTGGCTTTGCTGACCCTGGGACAGACCCCGCCCCTTTCACCAGCCTCTAGTTGCTCCTCTTTTGCCCCCCAGGCAGGCAGCCCAGACTGCCTTTCTAGGCCTTTCTTAGAAACTAAGGACAGACCTTTCCAGATCAAAAGGAAGAGACCAGGGCTGGGGCTAGCTCAGTGAAGGATCACTTGCCTAGCAACCAAAACCTATACTGCAGTGGGCTAGTGTTACAGAACAAGATGGCAGGCTCCTGTGACGCCAACTCTGCAGAAGACTTTGAAGTAAAACATAAACCTCGTGAGAGGTTTGTCATGAATTCTTTTCTCTACATCAGTATCAAGAATAAGTACTATCTAACATATAAAAGGTACTTAAAACATATCTACATAAAAAAATAGATGGATGTTATTTATTAATAAACCCACCTAGTAATTCTCAGTTTATCAGTGGCTGACGAATGCTTAATCTTTTTTTTTTTTTTTCTTAATCTTCCATCTTTGATCTAATTTGTGGTCGTTTATCTGTGCGTTAGCATGTCTTCCATAAAGAAAACAGCCTTCAAAGCTCACTGGGACAAAAGATCATGTCTGCTTTGCTGGACCAAACTATGTGCTGTTAAACCCCAGCACTCCAAAGCAGCTAAAGCCAGATCTCCTTTGCTTTAGGAACTGCTCCGGGGAATTTGTCTCAAGGTAGCGCGCTCGTGCTCTCTCTCCCCCCCCCTCCCCTCTTTCTCTCTCTCTCCCCTTATTTCTTTTTCTCCCTGTCTTTCATATTCTCAGTCTTAGGCCACTCAGCCATCCTGACACCACTATTCTCTTAATGAAGTTCTCTCCAGGTTTTATAAGAAAGTCTCCCCTTCCCTTCAGGGCCTCATCATATTTGCATTGCTCACATATTGTCCCATCTCTGTCCAATGCTCTCCCCCACCCCCACCTCAAGGCCCGGTCCTGGTTTTGAGGCCCTCTCTCCTAACAATCCTCACTCCTGAAGGGTGGCTGTACATCAGCTTCCTTTCGCTGATGGACCGCTGCCTTCTGTTGTCGTTATACTTGAAAGAAAGGATAGGGGAGGCAGAAAGGAGGGGGAGAGGTCTGTGTGCTCCTGTTGCTTGGCGCCACAAGTTCAGGCGTGTGCCCACACATGGACTCTGGATCTCCTTGTGGTCAGTTATGATTTCCTCAAGGCCAGTGTCAGTGGAAAAAGCCTCACTTTTCAAAACATGATGTGACCAAGATGCTGTCTCCAGGGATTCTTAAGGAATAACTGGTGACAATCTTTTAAACATTGACTGCATGCTCAGAAATACCATATTGAAGTAAGTAACAGTACATGGGAACCCTGAAATAACTCACAGAGCCAAATTTCCACTCAAGTATCAGAGGAGCACAATTTTTGAAAAAGGGAGCAAGCATAATTTAAAAATGGTTGACTTTTGACATCTTTGTGCTGTGTATGTGTCTTTTTTGTTGTTGTTATTTTAATGCTTCTAACCCAAATGGTACCTACAGGAATGGTTTTCAACTTACTTTCTCATTTTTGTCTTGTTCTGCTGTTAGAATCAACTGTTGCCCCTTATACCCGGAAGCCGCCTCTCCCCGACACCTGATGGAAGAAAACAAGGCCTCCAGTTAAAATTTGAACATCTTCCAAACATTTAGGGAACCTGTTCCTCCCAGGGCATTCATTTAATATGTATATATTTTGTACAAGATAGGAATCCTCAGTGTTTCACATCAAATGAATGACATGAGTAGGCAGGTGCCCCCAGAACTGCTTTGCTCTGCTCATCACTGATTCCCTTCCCTGGGAAGACACCAACTTTGTCTCCTAGAACACTCTCCTTAAATGTTGTCCAGCCAAAATGGCACATCCAGAGGAGATGCTTTAACTTGAGCTGTAACCTCCTCAGGCAATTAGCCCTGTGAACCTGTGGGCTTGTGCCTCAACTTGGGGGAAGATTTCTGGGTATCATCCCCCTCCAGCGGACCATGTAACTTCCTGAAGCAGGATCGGATCTGCTGGCTACTCTGGAGTGGTGGGCATGGAGCCTCCGCACTGGAATCCCTTCTCAGAGTTGTCCGGCCTTGCCTTATCCTGCATTTCCACTGCTACAGCATGGTGACCGTGAAAGGGGGTCCAGGATTACCTCTCCACTCCAGGACAAACTCGACTGTGTTTGGCATGAGGCGTTGATGATTCTGATCTGAAAGCAAGCTAAAGAAGATGCCACACGTGAGCAGAGAAACTACAAGGAATCGCCTACCATGTGACAGCAATGTCCCTGAGTCACTGGCTGCCCTCTCGAAGGCTGTCCCTGGGGCACCATGCTTTCTTTTCCTTTTTCCTTCTTTTTCATCTTTTTTAATCTATTTGTGAGTATGAGAAAGAGGAGGCAAGCAAAGAGAGGCCTCATATGTGAAAATCAAAGGACAAGTTGGAGGCCAGCCTGACCTACATGGCAAAACCTTGTCTCAATACTCTCCAAAAAGTCCATCGAATCCAAGACCCTGCTGCTGAGTGTATAAAATACAAATAATTCCTGCATGCGTAGAACGCCACTGTTGCCATTTGTTGAAATATCGGAAGCTACAGCGGGAAGTAGAAATGTCTTTGCCTTGGTGGGTATCTGAGCATTTCATTTCAGACCTAATTATAGTCAGATTAAAACGTCAAACAATGACTGTGGATTACTCTACATTTTAAAATGATACCTGTTTCAGTTACTTTAAACCTTGTGAGAGACTGGGGGTGTAGCCGAACCAGTGGAACTCTTGCCTAGTAGGCAGGAAGCCCTGGGTTTCATCTCTAGCATGGAACAAAACCGCCGTAGTCACACCTGCCTGGAAATAAAAATTCAAAGTCACTGTCCTTGGCCACCTGTAGACTTCAAGGCCATGCTGGGCTAAAATTTCCCAGGCATGTTTGTATCAAGGGGCAAGACGGGAGATTCCAAGTTCAAGGCCAGCTAAGGCTGCATACTGAGGTTCTCCAACAAAACAAAAGGAAACTAATAGAGTTGTTAACAGTGGTCGCTGACCATCTCTCTAAATGTCATGCTGAAAACATGTGTTTTCTGATTTTTACTGGTTATTTTAGAATGTGTTGGAATAGCAGTGAGTCTATTTCAGATCACTTAAAAGTTGTAGCTATTGTAATTAGCATTTAATCATTAGCATAATGGTAATCTAAACTATTAAAGTTTATTGCAAAGCAGTTTGGATTGAATTATGTTAAATGTATTAATATTAAATAAATGTATTTAAAAATTTTAACTTAAGATGTTTAGGAAAGCTACGTAAGGATTAAACACTTTAGTGACTGTATATTTGTGTATATAACTTGACTCTTCTATAATTTATTTTAATAAAAGCTAGAAACATTACTGTCTCCCAATTTCTATTCCAATCAACTAATTATTAGTCTATTATCTAATGCTTCATACTTAAGTGAGAAAATTTGTCATCTCTGTCTGTGAGTCTCACCACGTGCCTTCCGACAGGTTGCATTTCTGAATAGCTGACCCAGCAAGCTGCTCTTATGGGAATTTTTACAAATGGGAAACGAACAAAATGTCTTCCAGGCTGCCTAGCCAGACACTCAGCTCTGAGAGCATCTTGGCAGCTTGACCGGGAGGCTTCGAGAGTCTTTCTATTTCAATTTATCAGCATCTTCCTCTACCCCTTTAGAGTCCTGCAGAAGGCGCGTGGCCTGCATCTTCAGTTTCAGCTTGCAGAGCACTTTGTGTGGGCTCACAAAGGGAAAGGCATTCGAGACCAAACGAAAACCAAACGAGCAAAAGAGAGAAAAGCAATTCATAGTGAGGTCATCTTTCAAATACGCTTCACCTCTTTTCTCTAGAACTAATCTTCTTTCAGTGTTGATTGAGTGTGTGTGTGTGTGTGTGTATGTGGGGGGGGGATATGTGGTGTGTGCATGTATACGTATGTGTGGCACACCCAGTGGGCACATGTAGAGGTCAGAGGTGAGGTATACTCCTCAGTCCTTTCTCCACCTTATTCTTAAACATTTGTTGGTGTGTTTGTTTATCCCATGCCATCAAGATGTGACGTCCACTTCATCCCACTGCCCTTTCCATCCAGGGTGGCTGTGTGACCTCCTGAGGCACAGACTGGGCTGAGCTTTCTAAGGCCTGGCAGCTGTCTTCTCTCTGGGAAGACAACCTAGCATTGCCTGAGGCCCTGAATTCAAACCTCAGCACTGAAAAAAAAAAAAAAAAAAAGTGTTGTATGAAACAATAAAACAATTGTATTAATATGGTTTGTAATCTAAGAAGCTATGTAATAGTAATTGTTCTCATCACCCTCCAAGACGTAAACTTTTCTTTAATGTGTGGGGAGGGGCATGCATGCTGAGGCATGGATATGAAGGTCAAAGGTGAACTTGGAACCTAGCCAGCACAAAGGGGAAGGATGAAGGAAGATTTTGGAGGGAGGGGAGCTAGCAACAGCTAGCTCGCCGCTAGGAACAAATCCATGTTCATTGCCTGTTGAAGAAACGGCTGTCTGGAATCTCTACCATTCCTCTCTGCAGAGTAGAAGGTCCCTTCCCATTTCTAAATGTCTCCTGGGGCTGCCCAGGCACCAGTCTCCTGTGACATCTGGGAACATCCTGGCACCAGAGTCTCTGCCTCTCATTGCTCCTCAGCTAGTGTTGGTTTTTGTTGTCTGTTCTCACTGCTGCTGTTTTGTTTTGAGATGGGCTCTCCTATTGCCCAGCCTGGTCTTGAGTTTGCTGTGTAGACAAGGCTGACCCGGAACTCTTGATCCTCATACCTCCACCCACAATCCCCCAGTGCTGTTATTGCACCAGCTCCTTTGAACTCTTTATGGCTTGAAATTGAGCAAAAACCAAAACTAATTCATCCCTACTAAATGGCTAGCCTAAAAAAGTTTTTAAAAAAATCTGCCCCAACATTCTGCCTTAAATAAGACCCTATCTCCAAAAAAATAAAAGAGAAAGAAAGATTTTTAAAAAAAAAACATGCCTAAAACAAACTCTATTCTTGAAATATTAACTAGTGCTAGCCTGGGTCCTGGGAAATAAATGCACTGGAGGACATGAGAACCTTAGGCCTTGAACCCCTCTCGCCAGTAACCGCAGTGGCGCTCAGTGGCTTCACAATAAGCAATGAACAGCCAAGCCAGATGGCTGTAAGGATCTGTTCCGTTCAGGTGCATTGTAAAAGGACACGAACAGCTTGTTCTCCGGCTGTTGTAGATGGAATGACAAGGTAAGGACAGAGAAGGGTGCCCTAGCCAGGGCGCATGCTCGGCCAGCATCACAAAAAGCTGCTTCTGCGTTCTCTAGCTTCTAAGTCAACAGTTGAGTCCCTCACTCTTTCCTGTCTGCGGCAAATGAGCTAAGTTCTGTGGTACAGAATCCTGGGTGGGGTTGCTTAAAAAAAAAAGCAAAAGCCCAAACCCAACTTTCATTTTTGAGCAAACAAAAGCTATCTGGGAGACGCGGGGTGGTTTTTGCAGTTGGCTGTGGGCTGTGTGTTTTTGCTTTGCTTCGTTGTTGTTTGGTGTTGCTTTATAAGCTCGCTGAGGCTCTTAGGTCGTCGGCAGGGGCAGGGCACACACAGGCACACTGGAAGCCTCTCTTCTCCAGTAAGCACACACCAGGCCCGCTGATGAAGAATGTCAGCGGTGCAGAGAATGGCCCCAAACTGGGACGGAGCTTGAGTTTTCCACTCCTGACACTCCAAGGGGCTCGAGGAAGCCCTTGGACTCAGGGGTGATGACTGACTACCCTGCATACATCTTTTTTTCCCCAATATTCTAACAGCCTCCTACCTCAAGAAATAATCAATTAAATGCTTAATGAGTGTTTGGTGTAATCATTCTTTAATAGTGTTTTGCATCTTGATTAAGTGTTTTGCAAATTTTCTGTGGTAAGAGTGTTAAAAATAGCACTGGCTTTTCTTCTTCCAAAAATAATACAGGCTAATAGGAATATGTAGGCAATATGGAAAATACAGATAAAACCCCAAATTAAAAAAAAAAAAAAAAGATGCTACACATGTACGTTTACTCTTCTTCTGTGTGCGCACACGTGTGTTTTGCAGACATAAAATTACGTTGGCCATAACTTTTGTATTTACCCCTTGTCACTTTGACATACTATGAATATTTAAATCTTTCTATTACATATTCATAATGGGGGCTAGAGAGATGGTCTAGGGAGTAAGAGTGCTCGTTGCCCTTGCAGAGGACTCCTGTTCCATTCTCTGGCACCCATGTGTGGTCTCACAGCCTTCCAGAACCCCAGTTCCAGGGGATACGAGAAACTTACTCGTGGTGCACAGACATGCAGGGGAGCAAAAACATTCATGTACATACGTAAAATAAATACATTTAGACTTTTAGGTGTACATAATTGTATATGGGCAATCAGTTGTTACTAGTTTTTGCTTTTTAAATCGCCACCTTGAGTGTGTGTATGGCTCAGTCTTCGCACGCATCTACCGGACAAGATTTCCATCTGGATAAACAGCTCCAAGTGAAACTGCCGGCTCAGCAAGTCTGCAGCGTGTTCCTGCTTATGGTACAAGCTGCCAAGACACTCCTCAGAGAGGCTTTAGCAACTTTTCTTCCCAGCAGTGGTATGAGGTGGTGGTCATTTTCCACACTTGCAGCACGGTCACATGTTACAAATCTGGAAGTCACTGTTTTTGTGTTGCTGAAGAAATGGCAAAGCCCTGTTACAGACACCACTGCTGACCAAGGAGAAGGAAATAAGAACTGCAAGGACTCGTTTTTCTCTCTCCATCTCTCTCTGTACAAATGTGTACATGGTTTCTTTTTATGCTCATTTTTTTTTATTTATTCATTTACCATCTTGATCATAGCTCTCTCCCTCCCAGTCCCACATTCCCTCCCTCGTCCCCCCCATCCCTGTCCCCTAGTCCTCAGAAAGGGGGGGGGGAGTCTCTTTCCTTACCAACTGACCCCAGACTATCAAGTCTCTTCAGGACTGCCTGCAGCCTCTTCCTCTGTGGCCTGGCAAGACCACCTCACCTGGGGGAGGTGATCAAAGAGCAGGCAAAAGAGTCCATGTCAGAGACAGCCCCTGGTTCCCTTTACTGGGTGACCTACATGAAGACTGGGCTGCCTATTGGCTACATCTGAGCAGGGGCCTGGGTCCTCTCCAAGGATGCTCCTTGGTTGGTGCATCAGTCTCTGCAGGTCCCCCTGGGCCCAGATTTGTCGGCTCTATGGGTCTTCTTGTGGAGCTCCTGTCCCCTCTGGGTCTTTCTATCCCCCCTCCTCCCACTCTTCTATAAGGCTCCCTGTGCTCTGCCCAGTTTGGCTCTGAGTCTCATCATCTGCTTTGATCCTCTGCTAGGTACAATTTTTCAGAGGACATGGTTTTTTGGTTTATTTTCCAGACAGGATTACTCTTTGTAGCCTTGGCTGTCCTGGACTCACTTTGTAGACCAGGCTGGCCTCGAGCTCAGAGATCCGCCTGCCTCTGCCTCCCTGAGCACGGGGGTTACAGGTGTGGGTCACTGCACCCGGCTGTCATTTAACTTGCTAAAGTTATGTGAGAAGCGATGTTTAACAGTATAGATCAGTACGACTGTGTCGCAGAATCACTGCGAGCTAATTGTCTCATTCAATCACCACAGCCCTGTATAATAACAGTAGTCTTCACATTTGGTATCCATTTTAGCTTTGCTTGATTTTTTGAGGCACGGTCTCATATAGCCCAGCTGGCCTTAAAGTTGTTACGCAGTGGAGGATGGCCGTGACCTGCCTGCACCTTCTGAGTGCTGGGGTTACCTGTGTACCAGCAGCCCCAGTTCCGGCAGTGCTGGGCATCCTCCTTTGCTTTAACGCCACATGTATTTCATCGCCCTCTCTTCCCCCTCCGTTTTTTAGCATTTCATCCTTGCTCTCCCAGCCCCCTTTCTACTTTCATGACCTACACAAACACACACACACACTCATTTTACTTTTAAATGTCATATATGAAAGAAAACATTCTACCTTTGTCTTTCCGAATCTGGTTTAATTCATTGAAAATAACGATCTCCAGTTCTTTCCGTTTTCCTGAAAATGTCATTATTTCATTCTTAATGGCTAGAGAGAATTCCACTTTCTTTATCCATTCCTCCACTGATGGACATCTAAGCTGATTCTATTTCTTAATTAGGAATAGTATAGCAATAGACATGGATAAC